CCCAAAGACAGACAGACTTTTTTTTTTTTTAAATTTATTGGGGTGACATTGGTTATCAGAATTATATAGATTTCAAGTATATATCAGATGTATCTTGCGCTGTGTGTTCACCACCCAAAGTTAGATTTATGTCCATCACCTCATATTTGACCCCTTTTACCCCATTACCTCCCCCTCTGGTAACTACTAGTTTACTGTCCGTGTCCACGAGTCTCTGTCCTGTTCATTTGTTGCTTTTAGGTTTATATTCCACACATAAGTGATAGCAAGTCGTTTTCAACTTTTTCAGTCTGGCTTATTTCACTTAGCATGATTATCTCGAGGTCCATCCACGTCGTCGGAAATGGCAGTATGTCATCTCTTCTTAGGGCTGAGTCATATTCCATGGTGTATGTGCACCACAGCTTAGCCACCTGTATTTTAAATTGCATCCATTGAGTTCATCAAAAATCCAGTTAGAATTAACTAACTGCACTCAGTGTGTGAGCTGCTCCGTGGAGAAGGGACATCTTGGTAATAGGTACCCCGCCTCCCGGCCCCTCCGCCCGCTGGGAGTTCTTTGGTGCCTGGTCACGGTTTTCGCGCCCTCGCCACCGAGGTCTGGTCGGTGGCCGTGCGTCCCTTGGTCACTGTTGTGGCTGCGTACCCAGCATGCCCCGCTCGTTACCGTTCCGTGTTGCTCGTTAGTGGAGAGGGTTTGCCGTTCGTTTTGTATTTTTGGTTTTTGTTGGTTTTGTACCCGAGGCCCAGCTGCGATGGTCTGACCGTTGCCTCTGTTGGTTTTTCCAGATACATTATATCATTTATAAGCAAATACGATTTTACGTTTAAAAAAATAATGTAGACGGGCTCCCCCAGATGCGTCTCTCAGCAACCAGCCTCTCAGAAGCTGTTGTTTCCGCTGCAGAGGAAGAGTGTGTGGAGGAGCCGTGACTTGGCCTTCGGCGGACTTGCCTTTATAAGTCCTGTTCAAGTGAATACAACGGCGTAAATAACAGAATAGCCCTCGTGGTTTTGAACAAAACCGAATAATCGGCCTTGCTTTCCTCATCGTCTCTGAAATTAGATGGTCAGTTTTCTTCTTCAGTGTGAACCCCCTCAGACCTCAAACTCCACACGTCCTCCGGGCTGCACGAATAGTTTATTTCTTCCCCTTGCTTTGCCTGTAGCAGATGTTACAGGTGTAGAAAGGCCGAGCGGCCTCGCTGAACCGTAAGAACCTTCCACGATGTTACTCCCCGAGCCATTTCGGCTTCCATCTAATTCAATAAATTTAGCAACTCGGAGGACATCTGCGGGGCTAATTTTAAATGCTGAAAGTAGAGGTGTCAAGAAAGCTGTAAAAGCAGGTGCTTCCTGACGGGCAGGGCCCGCGTGCGTGGGACGCCTTCTGCCTACAGCTCTTCCGTTCTGCACGTGCCCCGGGCACAGCGGATCCACCCCAAGGCTTGGGCAGGTTTCTCCACCTGGTCCTGCCTCTGGGCGGGAGGAGGGCGAGGGGCGACTATCCCCACGAGGCCGTGCGTGGCCCACGTCTGGCTGCATGCGGGCCCCGGGTGCGGGGCACACTCCGCGTGGTGTGCTTCAGCTGAGGGGTTCAGGGACCAATGTGGGCTCATCGGACCTGAGGCACCACACGCACAGTACACACAGATTCTTTACGGCTTCCGTGGCGTGGCGTGGATGGAGGTCCCCGCCCCTGGTTCCCAGACTAAAGTCCACACGCCTGGACAGCACACACTCCCTCCGAGCGTGGACGCTGGCACCAGGCACTCCACTGCTGTGGGCCCCGGAGCGAAACGTCGCTGGGCTGGGAACCCGGGAGTAGCTTGCAGCGGCCTGCCGCTCGGCCTCTCTTTTTTCCAAATACGAGTTTTTAGTACATTTAACCTTTTCTAGACGTGAGCGTTAAGTTAATGCAACATCACGTGGTAGGAGAGGTGGCCTCATCTGCACCCCACCGGGGGCCAGCCTGGCTGCTGAGGGACCTGAAGGGGGCCAGGCGGGGAGCGAGGGCTGGCCCGAGCCCAGCAGAGGGGACTTTGCTCCATGCCACCATGGCCTCTGCCTGTGCGACAGTCCTTCCCGAATGGGATGACTACTCGGTGGCATGAAAGACCCCTCCAGAGGGGTGGCCATCTCTCCATTTGTCCCAACCGCCAGCCCCGTCCAGGGCAGCCCCCTGCTCCCTGGGCAGCTCCCGCCCCAGCCCTGTCCCTCATGTGTAGCCGCTGGAGCCACTCGGGAGGCAGCCTGTGTGTCTCCCTCTAGGTACAGTGCACCCCGATGTCGCAGGCTCCTGCCCGGAGCTCCAGGAGAGGCAGGCATAGTGTGCACTCACTGACACCCCGCCCCGGACGCCCCTGGCCCCCCGCTGGGCCCACGGCCCCCATCTCACTAAGGCGCCCCAGTCTCCGGGTGACTGTCTTGGAGCCCCCCAGTCATTTGATTTTGAAGGAAAAGGTGGAAAACTCCAGAACACAGATGCCACACTGCCCACAAAAGCCACAGCCTCTGACTGCTGTGTGCTGTTCACAGCTGGGAGGGGACACAGCTCTGCCTCTCTGCAGTCCCGGGCGATGGCCCTTCCTTGGGGGGCAAGACAGGGGAGGTGAGCATCTCCTTGTCTTGTGTGGGCTTTGGGATTGGGGTGCCAGGGGAGTCCCCTCACGGTCCCATCCCCGGGGGGCCTGGGACCAGTGACTGAGGCCAGGCCATGTACCTGGCAATACCTGTCACAGCATCTTCATCGCTTGTTGTCAGGGAGGCCTCTTCCAGAACCCCGTTCACAGGTGTTAGGAGCGTTCCTCATGTTTTTACAAAACGCGTTTTAACTCCTTGTGTCTGGAGCCCCCGCCATTTCTTCCGTCCCTCACGTGTAGCCGCAGGAGCCACTCAGGAGGCAGCTTGTGTGTCTCCCTCTAGGTGCAGTGCACCCCGATGTCACAGGCTCCTGCCCGGAGCTCCAGGAGAGGCAAGCATAGTGTGCACTCACTGACACGCAGTTACTCTCCACGTCTGCCCCTCCTCTCACGTAATGCAGAGAACACACGCCCGATGCCCAGGGCTGCTACAGCCGACTTAGAGGATGTTCTTTTTCGTGAAAAATGATGTTAAGGTTTGGGGTTTAGTAACAGTAAAGAGATGAAGCTCAGTGGGTGACACGGCCTGGGACGCTCCTCCACAGGTACCTTCTGGTCGTTGTCATGGAGTCGGAGTTCGCTTCTTGGGTCAGGGGTTTGGATTTTGTGCTTTGGGGGGTGATGGAACAGGGGGCTTTTTTTGTATGTTTGTTTGTTTGATCACCTGTAAGAGCCTTTCAATCACCTGAGCCCAATTCTGTAACTGGCTGAGTTCAGAGTCAGTCAGGTAAACGATCATAGTTAAACTTCCTATGAAAGACAAATAAATTACAAGTCAACATAGAAAAACTGAACTTTTATGTTAATATCACGAAACTGTTAGGTACACCATGCTGTGTTTAGAGAGCCAACCTTTCAAGCTGACCGAGGGGCATTAAAAGGTACCTGTGCCCCGAAGAACCCTAGATTCCTGTGGGGAACGTCTGCTCTGGAACGCATGGCTTCTGTCGACTTGAAAATAGGTGGCACCTGGGTGGGGGACTGGCGAGGGTGACACAGAGGTGGGGGTCAGAGAAAAGGGTCGTGAGTTTCACGAGGGTTTCATCCAAACTCCAGGGACACCTCTTCTTCCCAAGTCACTTCTCTGAGTCCACACAGCCTGGGAGAGCTGGTGCGGCCCGGCCCCCGGGCACGCAGCCAGGCTGTCCGCGACCCCCCTGCTCCTCGCCCTGGGAGCAGCCCTCTCGTCGCCCACTCGCCAGCCCCACCGCTACCCCGCCTGGACTTGCTGCCTTCGTTGGTGGCAGAGCCTCCTGTGGCAAAGTCACACCGGGCGTCCCGGCGCAGAGTGGCATTTGCCATTTCTCAGCGTTTTCAGTCCTAATCTCCGCTCTGTCCTTCGTAATCACCTTTTCTTAGTAGACTTTGAATGTTCGCGCTTTTGCACTTACTGGACGTAATGAAGGTCTTAGGGGTCATCTCTGCCTGTCAGCATTTGTGGGTTCTGTTTGTCTGGGAGAGTTGACAGCCCAGAGTCCAGTGGGAATCTGGGTGGTCGCCTGTCCACAGCAGTGTTTCCTGCTAGTTTTGACCCAGGGTCTCGTTGGGGACCCACACTGCTTCTGAGTTTTGAGAATAAGAACAAGCCACATAACCACAGAAAGCAGCTCTCATTAGAATTAGTTAAGGTTTTTTCGAGATGTTCTCCGTGAATATTATTAACGTCCCGGATTTTAGTTTGCAGTTAACATGTTTCGCACGTTACCGCCTTCCTCCAACCCTACGGGAGCAGAGTTTGACCCAGAGGAAGACGAGCCAACGTTAGAAGCCGCCTGGCCTCACCTGCAGGTAGGCACCCCGGGGTGCACCGGAAATGGCCTTGCGTGTGATGTAGGTGTTGGTGGATTTCCTAGAGCAGGTGCCCTGGCCCTAGGGCCCCTCAGTTGACCTCTGATCGTTAGCGGAATGGACCTTGCAAACTGTGCACACAAGAACAGTGTTTTCACAGAAGAGAGAACATTTCATGGTTTTTCATGTTTGGATACTTCATATAAACTACAAAGATACAGAATTGTCAGTACGTTTTTAATGGAAATGACCACTCTGCTGGTGGCCTGGAGGACTCAGACTCGTCCCGGTTTTCAGTACTTAGATTTAACATGCACCTGCTGTGTGCCCCAAAGCTCACCTGCTGACGAGTGCCTTTCTCTAATGCATTCGGAAGGCGAAAGGTCGATTGGGCAGGACTCCTTCGAGAAGGCGCTGAGACCAGCCTGAGCGAGGCGTCAGCGCGGGAGGGCCAGGCCCTCTGTAGGAGCGAGGCGGAGACAAGAGAAACCCAGGAAAGAGCCGACAGGAGCAGACGAAAAGGGAGGGCTGCCCTCCCTTGGCGTCAGGGACACCTGCGTAACCATGACAGCACGCCACCCACTCACGAGGGAGTGGCTGACTGCGTCTGTGACCTGCCCGCCCACTGGTCCCAGCTTCCTGTCCGCCTGGCTCTCCCAGGACACTTGTAGGTGACAGGCTGCCAATCCCACCCAGAACCTGGTCGCAGCCCGACCGGTGGCCGCTGTGCGCCATGGTCTTGAGCAGTGTGATCTAAGCACTGGTGACGTCAGCATGCACGTCAGTCTGTTTAAATGCCATTTAAGGATAAAATCCCAGCTAAATAAAACGATTGCCATCATCATTTATAATTAGATTAAGCCATGTAATTTGGCATTAGTTCTGTAGATATGTGGCTTTTTTTTTTTTTTAGGGGTAATATTTGCAAAGATTCAACTCATGGTGTATTTTTAATCTCCATTTAATAAAATGTGTTATTTGACTCACTGTTTTTTTTTTCTTCCTAGCTTGTTTATGAATTTTTCTTAAGATTTTTAGAGTCTCCAGATTTCCAACCTAATATAGCGAAGAAATATATTGATCAGAAGTTTGTATTGCAGGTAAGGCACAAATGAACTGGACGTACAGAAGCCCTGATTTGCAGAGAGAATGCCAAGTCACTAAGTGTCTTTTTCTTCTTAAAGCTTTTAGAGCTCTTCGACAGCGAAGATCCTCGGGAGAGAGATTTTCTTAAAACTACCCTTCACAGAATCTATGGAAAATTCTTAGGCTTAAGAGCTTACATCAGAAAACAGATAAATAATATATTTTATAGGTAAGTCGGTGTGTGGGTGACATTTCTCTTGCACACGGTGACGCTCACTTTCCCATGTGATGCTCTCGCACCTCGTCGTCCCCTGACGAGAACAGGAGCAGTGGTGGCTTTTCTGAGCCTCCTGCTCGCCACGTACAGACGGGCCTGGCCCGCACCTGCGTCTGCTGGGCTGGAGGTGCCGGCCAGCACCTCGCCGCACGTCCTTCGTTTCAGTTCTTACTGAAACATCCAGGGACCCCAAGTGTGGCCCCCCCTGGAACGCACACGGGTGGATCGATGTGCCCACAGCCGGCCGTCCCTTCCTCTGCACGTTACTTCCTCCTTCCCGCGTCTCAGGGTCAGTGACCCTCTGGACCCCAGGAGATCTGAGGCACGTCAGCGGCTTGGAGACACCCCCTGCGCCCGGGGACAGGCGCCTGGGCAGCTGTCAGCGGTCACGGCCGCTCCTGGGCCGGCAGGACCCTGGGGCTGGGCGGGCTGGGAGCCCAGTCGCAGAAGCTGCCCGCTCTGGTTTACGTGGAGGAGGGCACAGCCCCATGGCTCCCGAGAGAATGTTGCGAGCGGTGTTCACCTTGTCCTGGGTCCTCTCGCACGGCCCTCCTCCCCATCCCGGTGTCGGCACCCCTCCCCCGCCCCTTCTCCCTCCCGCGGCCTGAGTTGCACGGTGACTCACACCCTTTGGATGCACAGGTGTTGGGTGCTGGGCATGGCCCTCGGGGTCCCGCAGGCCCATCCACACCGGCACCGGGCAGCCTTGTGGGACCCTCCACGGCATTCTCTCCCCCCACTCCTTCTCCGCAACCCCCCAGGCCCTAGAAACATCCCCTGGCCCGGACGCCTCCCTGGCCTGGTGCACGGGTCCCCTCTCCCTGTGAGGACAGGCACCGTGTCAGCTGCTTTATCGCACAGCCCCAGTGCCAGCCTCGTGCCCAGCCACGGTGGCCCCAAATAAACAGTGATGGGCGAAACAGTTAGTGTAGCTTCTTATCCGTCCCCGGACAGCTTACTAAATGAGCAGTCTACTCTGTGAATTCTGGCTCAGAAAGGCTCGCCTCTAAGGCCCCCGACTCCGGGAAGGCCCACGGGACGGCCCACGGGAGTGGCGAGCCCTCGAGTGACAGGCACCGTGTACAGGTTCCTCTGTGGCAAGGGCAGGGCGGCTTTCACGTAGTCCAGCTGCAGTGCCCTTGCCCTTGGGCTGGAGCACCACGGAGGCCAGGTGTGTCCCTTCTTAGTCACTGTGACAGCAGGGAAGGGAAGGGAAAGGGGGCTGAGGCAGATGGACGAGAAGTGAGATCTCACGGCTGAGACGCAGCCCTCCTGGGAATTCCATCCCCAGTTCTTCGTCCTCTCACCAGCCTGGCCTGGCGGACGACCCTGTCCTTGAAGTCGCCCCGTCCCGCACGTCTGCGGCCATCAGGGTCCAGGCCTCCCTTGGCTTCACACTCGAGGTGGCATTTCAGGGTACAGCCTTCCAGCGTGCGTGTGGCGTCCCTTAGAACTCTCCGGGTCCCCGCATCCTGGGTGTGCAGCAGATCTCGGGCCGGACGCACCTCTGTGCTCAGTGACGCCGTGCTTCCTAGCCGTGTGTTCCTGGTCTATGTGCTTGGTGTGGGCTTGGCCAGTGTCCAGGCCTGTGCACACCAGTTGCCTGCTGCCCACTCCAAGTCACAGACCTTCGTTCTGGCCTAGCGAGTTCTCTCCCTGTCCACACCGTTTTAAAAATCCGTGGACATCCTCCGGGCCCAGGCCAAGCACCAGCCCTTCAGTGAATTCTGGTCAGCGGGGAGCACAGACGTGTTAGACCCATCCCGTGGGTGTGAAATAGTTCCACTTGGTTCCAGACGAAGACGGTGTAATTTCAGAGTCAGGTGTTTTATTCATCATCACTTACCTGGCTTAGAGGTGTCTCTAAACCCATAGTTTTCGTCTGCTGGGCGGAACCGGTTTCTGACTCCCGGCGAGCGAGGGTGGGGGCAGGAGGAAATCCTTCGAGGGAGAAGACATCTTCCTGTTTCGTGTCACTGTTCCCTCTCATTGTCCCCCGTGGATTCCACAGACGTGTTTCAAGCATCAGACTGATGCTGGGCTTGGTCCCGGCAGGGGTCTCAGGGGTGACACAGGGCAGCAGGTGCTGCAGGGGCCCAGGGAGCAGAGCGGGTGAAAGGCGGGGTGTCAGCGGGGAAACAGGTGAGCCCTCCTGCCCTCACGGAGACTGTGCAGCTAACTACGAGAAGCTCGGCAATTGAGCGAGACGTCCACTTCTGCTGAAATGCAGCCTCACGCGAAGATGGATTCATGGCTGGAGGGATGGGCGTCGGACGTATCTGAGAAAGCGAGCGGCAGATGGTTCGTCGCTGGGCTGGGATGGTGGAGATGCGGGTGCTCACTCAAGTCCTTTCAGCTTTGTTTTTTGTTTGAGAACCTTCAAAATAAAACGCGGCAGGGGGAGGAATTTTGAGCACACCTGCTCTGCGGGTGTTTAGACACCCAGGCCCTGAAGACTTTATCTAGTGACCAGGAGCGGAGCCCCCGGGATGAGGGATGATTTTCGCAAACGGGCATGTTTATTATCGCCTGGCTGCATGATTTCCCTCCCCAAAGCACTGTTTTCTTATTCAGGGGGTTTTAGTCTTTCCAGCTATCATTTCACTAATTCTAAATGACTTACTGCTTTTCCTAGGTTTATTTATGAAACAGAGCATCACAATGGCATAGCAGAGTTACTGGAAATATTGGGAAGGTGAGTCTGTGTTACTGGTAGCAAGTGACTTTAGATGGAATTGATGCCGAATGATCCTGTTCCTTGGGTTCAGCCGCTCCCCGCCCCGCCCCTGCCAACGCGAGGCGACTCGATCCACCCTCCAGAAGAACTGGAGTGAGATCTCACGGGACGGAGGGGGTCGGCAAGTGCTTGGGTTGGAACACGCTGAATCACACACACGTCCTAGTCGTGCGGTCCATGCGTAGACCGCATCTCATCTGCCTGAGCAGCGTCACTGGAAACACGATTTCAGTTACATCCTCAGCAATGCTAAAAATAGTTACCTTAAGAAGGTTTATATTTGACACTTAGAAGAATAGATCATTTATTGTACATTTGGGGGATCGAGTAATGCTAGAATTTCAGATTGCTTCGATTTTATAAATTTTCACGTGTATACTTATAAAATAATGAACGTTTCAAAAATTTTGTCTTCATCCGAGTAAAGTTCTTGCCTACTATCATTTTTTCAATGACTGTAGGTTTTCTGTCAGACCCACCAACCCACGGCTGCCCAGAGCTGCTCGGGCTCCGTGCCTTTCCTAGGGGTGGTTCTGCGGGACCCTCCAGTGACAAAACCTGTGCACTTTTGTTTAGTCTCACGATCCCCAAAACTGTCTGAACACAAGTGTTTCTCAAGGAACGTGGCTGTCGTCTGGCGGGGTCTGAGAGCGACCACCCCTGCCGTTTTAGATGCAATCTGAAACCAGAACGTTGGTCCCCTGGGGAATTCACGGCAGGTCCCTCTCCCTCGGCAGAGCGCAGTGGGTGGGTGGGTGGGCGTCCATGACCGGTTGTCCGGCCCTGGGCACATTACTCACCACCGTTTGCTTCTGTTTCCTTCTCTGTAAGTGGGGAGGTGATTATACCCACCTGGGCCATCACGGGGCTGGAGGCGCTGTCCGCAGTGCCCAGCGCCAGACGCAGCTCCCCTCCCACAGCCGGGACTCACTGTCTCACCTTTCCAGAACAGGGATTTGATCTTGAGGGTTTCCCTGCACGTCAGTAAGCGTATTGTCCTTGATGACGGCTTAAGACTAACCCGGCCTGCAGTGCCAGATCCCCAGGATCCATGAATGATGAGGGGACATTTAGAACTCGCTTTAAGTGCCTCCGTAGCTCTCGGTAACGTTTACCCGCTCGACGTTAGAGACAGGAACCTGGGCTTTCAGGCGACAAACGAGATCCCCGTCCTTCGCAGAAGAGAACAGGCTCCTTGCTGATGTTTAACCAGAGCCCGTCGCCTGCCCGCGTTAGACTCACCAGCTAGAATTTCCCCGGGAAAGCGAACTCCTGAAGCTCATCGAAGGCCCAGGGAGGGTGCAGGCTGTGGGCAGCACTGGACTGGGGTACCACTCGAGCTGCCCGGTCTTCGTGGCCCAAGGAAGGAGGTCTGGCCCCCAGAGACGCCTTCTGTTCTGGGTAACACCCTCTAACCCAGAATTTAGAAATTATCCTGTCGTTAGAAAGATAACAATGACTATGCTTCTCTGACGATAATTAATTTTCTTTTTAATTTCTGTTGATACCCTCCTTTTTTCTGGAAAAAAAATATATTTTGCTTGCTAGTTTTCATGCTGAAAACAAAAACGGAACGAGAAACAGCGAGGTTTTTTTAAAATCGGGAATCTGCAAATACTCAGCCTCACCCAGATTCTGTTTCCACAGCATAATTAACGGATTCGCCTTACCACTGAAAGAAGAACACAAGATCTTCCTACTGAAGGTGTTGCTGCCTCTGCACAAAGTGAAGTCCCTGAGCGTCTACCACCCCCAGGTACGGGGGTCCCGGCGGGGGAGGGGGAGCTCGCCAGCACGCGGTCCTCACGGAGCGTGTCCACTGGGGTAGCCAGACCCAGCCTCTAACGGGGATGGGGGGGTGTTGTCTTTCTTAGCACATTGTTGGCCTCGCCATCAAGGTTCTGGTGATGACAGAGAGGGTAAGAGAGTAAAGAAATTCTTTTTAAGATCAGTAAAATCTCAGGAATAGAGAATTTCGAAGTTCGTTTTAAGCATAGAGAAGGGAGTGAGTAGCTTAGTGAACAGAGCTGAGGAAGACTCCCCAGAGGAAGGTTTTCTGTAGTATAATTTAAAATCCAGCCCCTTGGAGAAAAAAGCCTGGACGTCCGTGGCCAACGGAATGGCCTGTGCAAAGCTTTGCTCTCAAGCTGCGGAATCTGATCACGGTTACGCAGAACCGCGGGGCCGTAAGTGGGCGGCAGGAAAGCTGCTTTCCCTGCACGCGTGTTCTCGTAGGTTCCGTGTAGACAGAACCTCAGCTGCGCCGGCTGAACACGCTGAAGATTTGGGGGGTAAACTGCAGAAGGCACAGTTGACCCTCGGGCAACACGGGTTTGAACTGTGTGGGTCCACTCGTACGTGGAATTTTTCAGCTGACCCACAGTTCAAACCCGCGTTGTCCAAGGTCAGCTGGGGGTTGGGGACCCGCGTGTGTCGGGGGGCGCTGCCTTAAGTCGTACGTGGACTTCCGACCACATGGGCAGCCAGCGTCCCGACCCCAGCGTTGATCCAGGGCCAGCTGTCTCTTCGTGTGATTCTGATGACCTTGGCTTCCTGGGAAGTGTTTTGCTGAGAGTTTTTTGTGTGATTCTAATGACGTTGGCTTCCTGGGAAGTGTTTTGCTGAGAGTTTTTTCTCTGATTGCTGTTAACTGGTAAGATCTTTACTCCCACCTGGTCATTATCATGTTAATCATTCTATATTAGAATTGGTAGTTTATCGACTTAAGATGGAAGAGACTTTAATTTGGTTTCCCAGCTGTCCGATCGCTTGTCCATTACAGTCTCCGGAAGACCCCAAACCTGGCTGATTTGTTGGTCCCAAAGACAGTTCCCCAGTTTTTTTGAGCTTTCTGTGTATCTTCCAAAATCAGTGAGGAGAATGGTCTGTCCTGGGGCCCCTTCCCCACCGTCGCACTCAGAGCCTGTGGCGGACCCTGTGGAGGGCAGTCACACCCACCTGCTGGGGCCCCCGTTGGGGGGCAGCCCCTGATCACATCTGACCGGTGTCTCAGCACCTCGTCTAAAGGGAGTGTTCACACTTCTTTTCCTTTTGCTTTTTAGCTGGCGTACTGTGTAGTCCAGTTTCTAGAAAAGGACAGCACCCTCACCGAACCAGTAAGTACCCTCCCGGGCCGGGGCCGGGGCTGCGGCCGGCACCCCCTGCAACGCAGCGCGTGGGCCTTGCCGTGTAAACGTCGCTCAGTCCCTCCGCTTCCCCAGATAGCGGGTCAGCCCGCGCTTTCATCGGAAGCGACAAGGCTGACAGGCAGACGGTTTCATTCAGGTGTCACAGGTTTTCAGATGTAGGAATGCGTTACAGGTTCCTTTGTTGCAGGGGATGTTTTGTCACATGGCGCCGTCCTATCCCTGACTGCGCTTTGCTCCTTTGAAGGCAAAGCGGGGGGCGGGGGCGTCGCCACTAAACCGAGTGCGTTTGACGCTGTCACATCTCCGTCCGATGGCCTGCCTCATCAGCTTTGGTCAGAGCGGCCGCGCCAAGGGCCCAAAGTGCCGGCCCGCAGAGGGGCTTTTCCTGCCTTGGAAACTCGTTCCGCACAAGCGTAGCTGTTCTACAGCCATTGATTGCATCGCGAGTGCCACGTTGCTGCCACCAGTCTTCAGATTTCTAAATTTTTTGACATTTTATCTTCATTAAAAGCACAGAAGCTGCTGTGGCCTAGATTAACAGTCAGGTCTGTCGGGTGCCAGTGGAGGCGTTTGGGGACACTTTTTTAACAGCTTTATTAAAAAGCTATAATTCATATACCCTGCAATTCACCCATTCATGGCATACAATCCATTGGTTTGGGATATAGTATGTTATAAAGTTTTTAAATTGTGGTAAATTATACATAACATAGAAGTCTGCCGTTTTAAGTGTGCAGTCCAGGGGCATTAATTACATTCACAAAGTTGCGCAAGTGTCACCATTTCCAAAAGTCCGTCATTACCCCAGACAGACTCTGCACCCACTAAATAGTAATG